ACCTTGTGGGCGGGTGGGACTCACCACCGTGGCGCCCCCTGCTGGATGTCCCGGGGATCAGCTCTGCTAGCCAGTGCGCCCTCTGCTGGTGGCATCTTGCTGCCGTCACTTCTGCTCCCAGGACCCACGTTACTCCTAGGAGTGCGGCATTCTTTTCATGACACAGCCCTCTGGCTGTGTTGCACTTTGTGCCCCCCACCTTCTGGGGGACTGTCACAGTCACTTAGTCCAGCCACTTCCTCAGTGGCGAGTGGGGGTAGGGGGGGAACCCGGGCCCACCCTCTACTCCAGGTCCCGGCCCAGGGACCCTGTCGATGGCCACTGCTTGGGGCGCCCCCTCTGATTCCTTGGTAGATTTCCCTGGGCCACTTCCCTGCAGCCGTAGCACTCACTTTGCCCTTGCTTCAGCCTGCAGACCCCTTCAGCCTGCCAGGAGCTGCCTTTAGCTCCCTGGGTCTCTGCCTACAGCACTTCTCTGTCCAGGGTGCTTGCTGCCTTCAGCCTGTGAGGCAGCCAGTCAGGGCCGGTGCAAGGATATTTTGCGCCCTAGGCGAAACTTCCAATTTGCGCCCCCCCTCCAATGTCCAGCCCCCACCTTCCTACGGCCAAGTTCCCCCCAGGGGCCCAGATGTTCACAAAGTGCAGAGGGCATGGGGGGGCTGCAAAGAGGGGGGTTGTATGGGGGCTCTTCCAGGGGGAAGGTGGCAGAGAGGGGGGTGCATGGGATTGTTCCAGGGGGTGGAGGTGGCCAAGAGGTGGAGGGGGCGGGGGTGTAGTGGCAGGGAAGAGATTGAAGAGGCAAAAGGGGCTCGTTGCAGGGGGTGCAGTGGCAGGGAGGGAGTGGCACAAGGGAGGAGTGGGCAGGAGGGGGTTGTTGCAAGGGGCTGGCAGACGGGGGGGTGTCTGTGCCCAGGGTTGTTGCAGGGGGGTGAAGGTGGCACAGAGGGGTTTGCACAAGGGAGGGGTAGGGGGATGGCAGGTGGAGGGGGGGGGTTCCGAGGTTGATGCAGGGGTGAAGGTGACCGTGGTGGCTGGGGAGGGGATTGCTGGGTGGAGGTTGCCCAGAGGCAAAAGTGGCAGAACAGGGTGGGTTGTTGGGGTGGGGGGTGCACAGGGGAGAAGGTAGCTCGTTGGTGGGTGTTGGAGGGGGTGGCACTGGCTGGGGGAGGGGTTGCTCCCACATACACCATTCCCTAGGCCAGGGACTGGACCTGCCCACCCCCCGGTGCTCTGCGGGCCGGTGCGGCTCCCTGCGACCCAGCTTCTCCGCCCGAAGAGCAGAGGGCAGCTGCACCTTCTTCCCCGGGCCGAGCAAGGCTCCCCGCCGCCCCCGGGGCTCTCAGCAGCGGCACAGGCAGCCCGAGCTTGCTGCCGCCACCGCTGAGAACCCCGGGGTTGGTGGGGAGCCCAGCTCGGCCCACAGCACGAGGAAGAAGGCGCAGCAGCTAACGCTACACCCTCCCCTTCCCCACTCCGCCGCCGGCTGCTCCCCCGGGGGGAGGAACTGGCTGTGCCGCGGGCAGCCCCTCTGGAGCCGGGGAGCAGCGGCAGCCTTGTGCTCTGCTGTTTAAAAAAAATGTTTGGGCACTGCTTTTTGGCGCCCCCAACCACTTGGCACCCTAAGCGGCCGCCTAGTCCACCTAGTGGTTGCACCGGCCCTGCAGCCAGTGCACCTCCCTCCTCAAGCTCCAGGGAGTGACTGAAGCTGCTCTGTTCTGCAGCCTTTCTTTTATGGGCCAGCCTGGCCCTGATTGGCTACTCCTCGCAGCCCCCCTCTGATTGGCTGCCTCCTACGCAGCCTCCCAAGGGCTCTATTAACCCCTTAGAGCCCAGTGTGGGGCAGGCACCCCATCACACAGACATATTAAGTCAGATTCTCTCCCATGCTGTAACCCTGCTACACCTCTCCAGTGATGCCATAAACCACAAAGCCCTTCTCAGCTGAGGATTTCCCAGCTAAGGGAGGTGGTGTAGCTGGCTTCTCTCCCACTTCCCCACAGCTCTTGGCATAGAGGGGCATGTCACTAGGAGACGAGGCACAGCCAAACAGGGTATACTCTGGTGATCCCCATTGACAAACATGCCTGGGGGGGCACAGTCTGCTGGCACAGATTAGAACAAACTGAGGCTGCTCTAAGTTTCACTAGTGCTGATGTAGAACTGGCCCCAGAACAAGCTGCAATCAGGTCTTTGACACAGCATGGAATATGGGCCTACATTTATATGTAGGTGAGTAAATGTGTCCGCATGCCTCTGACTTACAAAATTCGGTGATTAAAGTTAGGCTGCTAAGCCCACACTTAGGCACCTGAATATATGGCATGATTTTCAAAACTGTTGAACGCCCAGCGGGTCCCCTTGAAGTCAGTAGATGGGGAGAAAGTCAGTCTTTGTATTCTGTATTTTTATGGTTTTATATATTGCTTTTCTTAATGAGTGTCTATTTTAAGCCTTTTGGTAGTAGAACCCTCACTTTGAAAAAGGAACAAAGAACAATCATCTGAACTATACCGCAGTATACTCGTACAATATGTAAAAAATCTGGTGGGAAAGACAAAGTACTGCTTTTACAATATCCTGAGCCAAATCACGGGTTATACAATTCTTTTTTTTTTTTTATTTGTACATTCAACAGTGCTTTGTAGAGCAATCAGGGAAGATAATATAATCCATTTTAAATTCTCATTACTTTAAAAGTGTTGAATCTCCTTAAATTGTTTCAGGGTTAATTGAGACTTTGCTGCCTTACAATAGACTGGGAATTGTGTAGACTGCCGTGGTTCCATATATATATATTTTGGTTCATACCTTTGTTGCAATGTTATAAAAACAACAATAAAAGAGAAAACAAAGGAGTACAATGAAATAATTATCAGTCTTGTTACTATTCTAGCAACTCATTTTTATGGGAGATAAAGCTCAACTATTGATTAATGTTTAAATGGTTATTAAAGTGGAAGTGCATACACGTTTGATAGACTGTACCACTCACTGTTCATTAGTGTTTGCTTCCATTTCTTTGTTTGCATTTTCCCTCCTGGACTCACTCTGCTCCAAGAGAAGTCAAGGGTGAAAATGTGTTGACTTCAATGGGAGTAGGATCAGGCTACAGCTTAGTAGGGCTGGGAGCTGGAGATCAAAAAGCAAATTCAATTTCCTGTGCCATCAGAATAAAGGTTTGAGTCAGATCTCACTTACACCAGTGCAAATGAGAACCACTTTCCCTGTTGCTAATGGAGCTGACCAAGGGTAAATGAGATTAGAATCTGGCCTTACTCGTATAGGCTGGGAAGACAGAATTTAGGGCATGATCCATCTCTTGTGAAAGTCAATGATGATCTTTCCATTGACTTTAATAGGATTTATTCTGAGCCCTTTGCCTGGTCCAAAGTCAGTTGAAGTTAATGGATTTCACTGTGGCGATAAATATGTTTAAAGATTGTGAGGTGCTCAAATGCTGTGGTAATGGTTTCCATATAAGTACCTGAAATAAATAGAATGTCTCAGCTACATGAAACAAGGCAAGCCTCTGAACTCAGCATTCAGTGTGCTCGCTTCTTTACGTTGCTGACCCTCAATTCATTTATTTTTTTCTTTTCTGGCACTATTTTCTTCTTGACAATCCACTGATTTTGATTGTTTCCCTCAGTGGGTGGATGGTTTTTGGCAGCAATACCTGCCTAGTGCACCTTTTAAACGGAGGCCACTCTAAACTCCTGGTTTTTCACTGATACTCATAAAACAATAAACAGGCTTCATGTCAATTGATAGTGATTCAGAATACCGATGGTAGACTTGCTGACTGTTATGACCTATAAAGCAATCCATTTCAAGTAGATAAGCCTCTCGTTAACGTGTATATTGATTGTGCAATAGGCACTTCAATTGGAGACTTGAGGCATTAAAATATTTAATTAAAAAGGAAACTGGTGTCCGTTATTTCAACTCATTGTGGTTAGATTATTTCAATATATTTAACTGCATACAGAATTAGGCCCTGATCCTACGAAGAGTTATACATTTAATTTGACTTCAATTATGCTACTCATAGTGCATAAAGTTAAGCACTGGCCTAAGTCTTTCCAGGATCAGAACCTAAATGATCATGATAAGGAAGAAGCATAGTCTACAGTAGTGGAGTAGGTATCAGGGCTCCCAGAAGGCAACGGTTTATATCCATATTTAAGTGACTCTGGAAGTGGCCTGATTGTTCAGAGTCTGAGCACCTGCAGCTTGAAGTCTGTGGAAGCAGAACAATGCAGATCACAAAGCCCAGAAGGAAGCATGTGAGAGCTGAAGACAAAGTATCCTTGGATGGCGGGGCGGGGGGGTAAGCTGGATATGGAACAAACATTTCGAGGAGACCAAGCAGATCCAGCATCTGACCGTCTTTGGGAAACACTGCAAAACCTTGCTCTTCAAAAAATCCTTTCCACTATAAGAATGGCATTTAAAACACCCTTGTAATTCCCTTCTAATCCCAAACCCCTTAGCAACCAATAAAATAAAATCCAAAATACCCAAGAAAAAGACAACAACAAAATAAGCACTATCCCCCCCCATTCCCGAAAAGGGAACAGTGCTAGCGACTCGATGAAGTTCACTCCAGGCTTCACTGTTGCTATTGGTTGTATGTGGAAAGCAGTCTGATACTATAGTGATGGACAATAGTATTAAAGTCCTCAGATAGACAGCAGAAGGCTGTCAGCACCCATGAGAATCAGGTTGCCTGTGTTTTAAATATTGATTTAGGTGCCTAACTCTATGTTTGAAAATGTTGGCCTTCGCCTCTCTCTGTCTGTTCCTCCATCTGTAAAATGAGTCTGATTATAATCACCTATTTCAAAGGAGTGTCGTGAGGCTTAAGAAACTGTTTGTGAAAGTGCTTAAGAGATTCTCCTAAGCAAGGCAGTCCGTGCAAAGGGCTCTCCTTGTGTAATAACATAATCAGTTCAAGTTTAGATATGTGATCAGTTGATGGCTTTTATCTTTTTGCCTAGGTATTCTGTTTACAAGGATCCAGCAGGATGGCTGGAAATTAATCCTACAAATGGTACCATTTTCACCACTGCTTTCCTGGATCGTGAATCACCCTATGTCCACAACAACGTCTATACAGCACTGTTTCTGGCAATTGACAGTGGTGAGTAAGGGTTGCTGATAACATTACTGGATTGAAAATGTATTTGATTTTTTTTTCCCCTTGAAGGCCACTTTTCAAAAAAGCACATGCATAAAGTTAAGCACAGGCTTAAGTAATTTGCTAAATCGGCACCTAAGTGTCTAAGATATTTGTAGACAAATAGAGACAAAAAGTAAGTGGGGAGGAAGTTAGACTTCAAACTTAGACTGGCATAGGTTTGGGGGCTAGGCTAGAGACATTTAATCCTACAGAGCCCTCACTGCTAATACTAAACAATGCATGTGATGAATGTACTTGGGTAATAATAAATCATCTTTATCAGAGTTAATTTCTTCATAATATTTGAGCTGTTATTAAGCCTAAGGCACCAATAACAAACTCATCCTGGATATGGTGAATTCTGTCCTATTTAACACATAATGACAGTGACAATAAAAGCATAATTAAAACCCCTTGTTAAAATGCAATATTTTTACATATTATGTGTATTAAAGTTTCTTCTGTCTAGCATAATCTAAATTAAAGTATGTTGCAAAAATTCACTACAAGTGACTTTTGTCGCACATAAAAATGTAGAGAAAAGCCTGAACATTCCTGCAAATCTCCAGAGCTGAAAGCACAAAATAAAGAAAGCCTTTGTATGTAATAGAACAGCTAATATGCTAACCCTTTCCCACAGCTGCAGTTGCTTTAGCCCTGGTGATGAATTGTAAAATGTTCTTTTTAGGAGGGTAATTTCACATTTTTTGAATCACATGACTTGGCTCAGGAAACGTTTGCTAGGTCGGACAAGAAAAGGGAATCATCTCCTTCAATGCAAAAAGAAAACAGAAGCCTCTGTAGACGTGATTTACTTGTATATTCATAAATGTGTTTCTTAGTGTAATTTCCATAGAAGAAATGTGGCACTAAACCTACCCCTTTACCTTTGTTTGCTGGCTAATCATTTTTCACAAATGTATCTTAATTATAATAGCATCAGAAAGATACAGGGGGTCCCCAGTATATGTCAGGGTTGTGCTCTTGAAAAGGGCAATGGATACTGAAACGACGGATACTGGTGAATTTTTCCCGATAAGAAATAGTGGCCCACCCCCTCTCCACCCTGCCCCGCCTCTTCCCACCCAGATCTGCCTCTTCCTCTGAGCGCACCCCTTTCCTGCTCCTCCCCCACCCTCCCAGCACCTCCTGAATACGGGGGGAAGCACCCAAAGAAAAGCCACACAAAAGGTGAAGCGACGGATATGTGGATCGGGACTGATGCGAATCAGAACACAGTCCCCTGTTGATACTAAATGACGGATAAGTGGGAGATGGATACCGGGGACCCCTTGTAATCGTATATTGAGCCAATAGGAAAACTGGGATCAAATTACTTATGGCTTAATTTTCAGTCGGTAGGGGAGCTTGTTGGGGCCAGCAGTGAACGGGAACAGCCCTTCAGCAAAGGAGGAAGACACCAGATAGCTCCTTCCCTCTCCCCTTGAAGTCTCTTTCACTCACAATTGGAGGGGAGGGGTTCTGATTGGCCAGCATTCCTCAGTTCCCAGGATTTAACCTGGAGTGGGGGCCATATGGTAAGAGCCCTGTAACCCCCAAACTGGAACCAATTAAATGCCTGGTATAGGAGAGTATGGATGATGGGCGGGTAATGCCCCTCCCCTCTATTTAAATTTAATAGCAGTTGCAGCCTGCTTCTTAAAAATCCATCCATGTGTCTGTCCTCATTTTGCCACTGTGTCTGCATCAAGGGCAAAGCTGTAGACACTCAAGAGTCAGGAAGCAGAGGCTTAGAATTGTATGCAGGAGCAGGGGGAAATTGTCCCACCAATTATCAGCGAGAGAGAGAGAAATGAGGGAGCAAAACATTTGAATATTTTCAGGTGCAGACACCAGCCAGTGCAGGCACAGTCAGAGTGATTGTTTTTTCCTGTTCTACAAGTATGTAGGTTCTCATGTCACAGTATCTGAGCATCATGGCTGTATGCAAAAGGAATTGTACAGACCGCAGCACAGTTGTTTTTTTTTGTAGTTAACGTCATCTGTAGCATCATTCAAACAGGTGCAGGTAATAAGAGATGCTAGGAGGCAGTTGGAAGTGGGCATCTCAGTACAGAGCGAGGTCACCCAGCTATGAAGCACCTGAATACCTCCATGACAACATGCATTCTGACTGGAGAATCTCAGCTCACTGCTGCCAGGATTCTTTGCCAGATATTGGGCAGAACGGATGGACAAGAAGAGGGAAAGGCACCTGTGCACTGCTCAGAAAAACAAGAGGAGCAGGTTTCACAGAGGACTGGTACAAAGAACTTTCTCAGTGTACTTGGGAAGCCATATTCAATGGCAGCACATCATTAAGGAAGTCTGTTATGTGTCTATCTGAAGTAGTTCTAAGGTACTGTTAACATGGTAGTCAATCAACTTTGACATTATTGGGCACCTCCAAGCAAAGTGAGGCACATCCTACTCCCCTCCTTCCCCTACTGATGGGTCACCAAAAAGTGCTAACCAGCCATGCTGGATTCTGCTCGATTTTTCTAGTCAGTTAACTTTAATGCCCAGTTTGAAAAGGTTTATTACATTTCCTACAGCTAAATAATATATGTAGCTTGGTGGTAGAATAATCTAAAATGAATATAAAATTCTTCCAGGACTTTAAAAGAAGGTTAAATTAACTGAATGAAAATCAAATGAAAATACCCTGCATACATTCTTTTTGAGAGCTGCAGTATCCATAAACTCCAAAGGGAAAGGTCATTTTTTCAGTTTACTGAATATATTCTAGTTTAACTCAGTGAATAAGGTTAGAATGATGTGTGATAGTGGCTGTTCTTGGAAGATTAAAAGTGGTCCAAACAGATTGGGTGGTAAATTGAAAACAGTGTTATTTCAGCCAGTTCAAATTATGCATGTGACCAAGGGTCTTGGAGCAAGGAGAGAGGGGAGGCAAAAGACACTCAACCACAGAGTCTTTTATTCAAAGGCTGTGTTCTGGCACACACTGTAGGTTTTTTCTCCAGCCATCACATGTGGCCACTAGCCAGGAAAAGAGAGCAGATATTTATTTGATCTTCATTAAATGTGGATTTGGTCTTGGCCAATGCAAACATGTTCTCTATCTATTAATAACACATCATAGGGCTCTTTATTCTGTGATTGATATGGCCTAAAAAGTAGCATCTGTTTAATTCTAGCTTTGACTAAGTATTGGGTGGAACTTGAACTATCTTCTCACCTCCAAGTCAAGTTTGAGCCACTTGGGGAAGCTTGAACTGCTGCAGACTTTGCCTTAAGTCATAAACTTAAGCTCATAAAAATAAGTCTGAGAAATTGAATACATGCCTTGGGAAGGCACCTGTAGATTTTTCCTCTGATTTTAATAGTGTTGGAGTTTAATAAACCTGGGTTACAGCTATTCAGTCTCTAGCAAGTTTGTTTTTTTACCTTATTAAAAACTAATGACTAAGGCATTCAGTTAGAAGGCAGTTGTAGTGCTTTGACTCCAGAATTGGAGTCCTCAAGCCTGACCTTAATATGCTGCATGTCAGAGTTAGTCATACAATAAAGGGATGAGAAGCCTAAACATTCCCATTGCTAGCCACACTGCCTGGGATATATTTAGCTACAGAATGTGTTACAGTTATTCCAGCACGTTCTTTCACTATCTGTTGTGTAAATTATGGATAAGAAGGTGGGGTGAAATGGGAATCAAATTCACAATGACAGGAATCAAATCCACAGAGATAGGTTTGTTTTGTTTTGCCCTTCTTAGCAGTGCCCATTGAAGTCAATAGAAAATCTCCCATTGAATCCAGTGGGCACTAGATTGAGGTCATTTGACAATATAAATGACTAGTACAAGGGCACTTTTCCCAATCTGTAAAATAGAGTGTGTCGCAAACTGGGAATATAACTCAGGAATTTCTCATTGGCAGTTCTGTGCATAAACCGGTCAGCCACACCTCCATCTGCATCGCTTCTCTTCAGCCCACCACAAAGATGCTCTTAACAACAGGACGTTAGTAGATGGAGCTATGGCTGCCATTCTCACTGCAGGAAAAAAATAATTAATAGTTATGTCAGATATCTTGGTGATATTCTTCTTCAACATTATAGCTTTATCTGAAGAGAAAATTTGGTTAAGTGTGAAAGGATTTCTTCCAGTTGTAAACAGCCCTTCTGATCTCTGCCAGGACTTATTGAAACAACATAGATAATAATATGAATTATTACATAACATAATAATGAATTTGATGATCATAGTATTTAATTTTATAGATTAAAAAATATGACCTTTTATGTGGAAGAAATTTCACTTTTTGGAATGAACATCCTAATTTTCTTTGTACTCTTTTGATTTCCGTAAAGGTCAAGACCGTGTCTTTAGAGTCTGAGAACTCTTTATTAAGGACTTGTGTGGACATAGAGACTCTGGTTTATTAAAGGAGAAATTACATGCTGGTGGAAAAGATCATGGAGCAGAGTTAACATAAGTGGAGTGAACTGTGTTTAATCTGAGAGCAGGTTGATAATGGGAAATATACAGATTTAGGTAAACCTGGAAAACAGCTTAGGCTTCTTCCTGATGCCTCCTTATTGAAATAAAAGCTGCAGTAATCACTCTAAACACTGCAGTATCACTGTGGTCGTTTGTACCATATAGAATGTGGTCGTTTGCACCATATAGAATGTGGTCGTTTGCACCATGACTGTAGGACTTTTTTTATTTATTTATTTTTGTAAGGGCAAAAAGCCTAGTGGGTTTGCAAAACTGGGCTGGAACAAACTTTCAAGAAAATATTCGTATTTCCTGTTTGACTATGTTGCAGTATCCTTCAATAGTCATCCCAAAGCCATTATTACTAACTGGAGTCTTCTGGGTGATTGCCAGAAAATAGAGCAGCTGACTGTTTTAGCTCAAGCTGAAAACTGGCACTACAATCTTTCTCGTTGGATTTTGAAATTTCCATTCACAGCCCAGAAAACAAGCAGGAAGT